AGGGAAGCCCCGCCTCTAGTGGGGAAGAGATGCAGGGCTCGGAGGATGCAAGAGAGAGCCAAAGCACCGTGCATGAGCAAAGCGGGGGGGGGAGGTAGGTCCCCCTTTACCCATGCCCTCCCTGCGCAGTAGGTTTACACGCAGGGAGGGGAGGCGTCGGATGGGGGTCAAGAGACTACTCTGCTGGGGAAAGTTTAAGGACCGCCCACTCTCAGATTCTGCTGGTGACTGAGCAAGACATGGAATTGAGATGTTCTGCACTGTAAATGTTTTTGCACCGCTAATAAAGCCTTTGAAAAGACCAGTGGGGATCATGCCTGTTCGCTCTCAAGCAACCATGCCGGTAGACATAACAGCAACAAACTGAGAAACAGTTAAGAGAAGGATAAAAGGGCTTGAGGGAAAAGGCAGAAGAGACAGCCAACAAGGTGCTCTGCAGATAAGTGTTGCACTCCTAACTTCCATCAGTCCAAGCTGGCAATGCCAATGATGAGGGATGATGGGAGTTGTTGTCCAACCACTTCACTCATCCCTGTATTTTGGAGAACCACAGGTGTCTCCCCACCATTCCAGAGTCACCAGGCCTTATTGCTCCTTCTTCTTGCTGTTACTACCTGTTCACATCCCTTCATTTAGCAAGCAAGCAATATGAATGAAATGAAGGAGCAGCAACTGGAGCACACTTTGTCCCTTCTTCTGAGAGGTGGTGTGGATTGGACCCAGAGGGACAGGCAAGTGAATGATGTTAAAGTGTATGAGATGGGCCCACTTCAGGGGTCAAACTGTGAGTATCTTTTCATACCCTCAAAAATACAAAGTCGAGTACATAACTGCAAACCTCTAGACTAAATGCTTTACAGTGCACTGCTCATTTTTTATTTGCCTGCACATTAGATGCAGAACCACATACGAAATCAAGCTTGTTATTTTGTGTTCAACGAAAACTGCCTTCTGCTAGCGAGACTTCCTGGTGTGCTACCAAACTGGAAGGGCCTGCAGAAAATAGCAGAATCACCTAGGTGCTTTTGAAGCCAAGCAACTACTGAGTAAACACCTGAGTAAGATGCAGGGCTGTTGCAGGTGGACAGACTCCAGACAAATGCGAGCGTTTTAAAATCAATTTCAGTGGAATCAACAAGACTCGAAAATGCTTCATGTAGGCTTGTCTTGACAATGATATTACTCATTCATCACTGTCATATCACAACCATAAAGAAGGCTATGGGTGAGATCTAATTGGTATCCTTACACTCATGGAATGATTTTGATCTAGTGTGTGCCTTCATTAATGGAAGCAAAAAGGACATTTTTTTTCCTGGCTTGCCCTAATTCCCTACAGCAACTTCCACATCTCCAGCCTTTAGTGGAGGCATTGACTAGATTCCAAGTTCTTCTGTGATTCCATCCTGTGACATCATTAAATGGTTTGTGGGTTTGGTTTTCAGGCTTTCAAAATCCTAATGTGAGTACTTTTTAATTTTTTTAAAACAGCAATGCTCATGCATATGTTTTCATGGCTAATGCATCCTTCCTTACCCGGAACTTCCAAGAAGCAAGATGGCAAATTCTTTGCCCCAGCACAGGCTTATGGTTTGTGGCTGTATATTGCCATAGATCAGGGGTCAACAAGCTTTTTGAGCCAGTGGGCACATTTGGAACGTACTGTTGGTGGCAGCCACAAAATGGCTGCTGCAGGAAGAAGAAGAGTTTGGATTTGATATCCCGCCTTTCACTCCCTTTTAAGGAGTCTCAAAGCGGCTAACATTCTCCTTTCCCTTCCTCCCCACAACAAACACTCTGTGAGGTGAGTGGGGCTGAGAGACTTCAAAGAAGTGTGGCTGGCCCAAGGTAGAGCATCACGCAAAATGCCTACCACAGCCAAAAGAACAAACAAGAGAGAGGAGACCACAAAATGGTATGGCCTGCCACCTCATCCATTGGGGAAAAGGCACCTTTGTCAGTCACCATCACACACATACACACAGAGGTCTTTATACTCCTCCTCTGTTCAGAACAGAAAGGAGAGTCAGTGTCCACTCCTGGCATCCAATAAAATGTGGGCAAGTTTAAGGATGTGTGCTCAATGTGAGGCTGAACCAGTAAAACAGGAAATGAGCAGACAAAACAAGCAGTCTCATGTGAGTTGTGTTTTTTGGAGGAGATATTTAATGTTTTCTAAAGGAAATATTTTGTGGGTGCCGTAGGAGGTGCTGGAGAGCACACTAGTGCCCATGGGTGCCATATTGGCAAACCGATGCAAGACCTCAGGGGTTTTTTTGTTTTTAAAGACAACCCAGAGTACAATTTGTTCCGAGATCATCTATACAACATATACACACGCATTTTAAAAAAAGGCAATTCCTTACACTCTGACAGCAGTGAAAATATGCAGCAGTATTTCAGGCCACGTTGAATTGTTGAGGCTGGGTAGTACAGCAATGTTATAAAATATTGCAATTCTCTCTTTTAATAAATACTTGAAGTTAAGACTGAAGATGAGAATAATCAAGTACTGCGTTGCAGAAAAATAATAATTTGTTGAAGTATTTTTCATCTGTTACAAATAAATTTTATTTACCAAACACAATTAAAAAAAGAAAAACATTCCCAGCAGATATGAATGATGAAGATTACATTCTGATAAAGGAAGGCTTGCAAAGAACCAGGCAACTTTGATTCTTTTGGACTAAGGATTTGTTCTGGTATATATATATATATATACCTTTTCAATACGTTCATGTACATTCATGTTAATGTCATTATTTACACATTCCAGAAAACTTAGACATATTGGCTGGGATCCATAGCAGGAAGATATGTGCATGGAACAGAATTGTGCGCAGTGAGGATTTTGCTTACTGTTTTGGCCATAACATATTCCACTGCAGAAGAGGTAAGCTATTTTTTTATATGGACCAATGGATTGTCTCTTTAGCAGTGGGAAATGCAGTGGTTAATTTTTTAAAAAGCAAGCACCACCAGGGCTCCACATGGAGTTTACTTTTGGATCCCAGCCACTGTGTGTAAATTTAGGGGTTGATTCATTCAGAAAATTATGCAGGCATTGTGCTGGTTGCCACAAGGTATTCAGACTTGGTCTGTACATGTAGAACCCTGCTTCCATTCTAACTATCTCCTAACAAGGGCTGATGTTAGGACAACAGAAAAACACCTCTTTCTCTGACGATGTAAAGTTGGATATATGGTATCACTTACAGCTAAAAAAAATCAGGCTGGGTGGGCTACTGTTCTTATTTACACAGTTACAGTACACAAAATGGCTGCATATTGTGGACGGAGGTTGGTTGATGACTGCATTGGAAATATATGTTATAGGTGCTCTTTTGAGGTTTTGTACTCATCTTCAGACTTAGAAATAGCAAGAAAGGAGACTCTAGCAGGAAAGAACAGTCACTTCCAATAGTTCATGACAAAGACAATCCAAGCACCAAAGGGTATGCCATTATTATCCTACAATGGAGCTCAAGAGAAATACTCAGCTGAGCTCTTTGGGTATTACTTGCATGAAACTCTCAAAGTTGTGTGGCTCCTTCTGCCTTCACCATCAGTGCTGAGACAGCTGAAGCAGATGAGGCTCCCAGGCTCTGTGTGTGATTTAGATCTGTGGTCACCCAGGGTTCCAAGTCATGTGGGTTCGCCTCCACCTATACAGCAGGCCCTTTGCTTCAGAGGTTTTCTGTCTCAGCTCTGCGATAGCAAGAAGAATGGCACAAGGATGGGAATTGGTCCAAATATGTGGTCCTTTCACCAAGGTTGATCATCTAGCATAAGATCTAGGAACCACAAAAAGTTCAGAGCACCCTGCAAGAAGGAAATGTCCATAAATTAAATTGACATAAATGTCCATAAAATAATTTGACAGGAACCAAATATGGAATTTCCCAGAGCTCAAGAATATTCAGAACTTGAATTTGGCTCAGGCATGTCTCTAGTTTACAGGAAAAGAAGAGGAGGAGGAAGTGGAGGAGACATATTGCATTCTAAGAGAACCAGGGAGATGTTCATGGCTATTTTTTTCTAGAAAAATAGCACTGATAGGGATTGCTTAATCTTAAGATGTTACTTTAATAGGATTGAACTGCACAATGGTCAACTTCAGGGCCAGCCCAAACATTAGGAAAAGTGAGGCAAGTGCCTCAGGCAGCAAATACTGGGGGCAGTTGCCGCTCATGGCTATTCCTGCTGAGTTCTCCCAGCTTCTCTGATGTCACATGACCTTTCCTGAGCCCCCTAACCTGGCCTGCTTTCTCAGGTGTGGTTGAGGATGCTATCCCATCGCCAGTGTTGCAATACAATTGCCAGTACATGGTTTGGAGTGGAGGCACTATCTTTCCTTAACCTCAGGTTGAAAAAACTGTTGGGCCAGCCCTGGCTAACTTTCATAAATTAAGTTCTTTTTAAAGGACGTTAAAGGATCTAGGAGATCCACATAGTTATCCAGATCCTGGACAACGAGTTCAGCTCTGAGCAGACTGAGTTACATGTGCTTTAAGTGCCTTAGGTCTCAAAAAAGGCTATGATGCTTTGGATCAGCTTTGCATTCTCCTTTTACAGTACGTAGAATACCAATGTAAATAAAGACAAGCAAAACAAACATAATGAAATTATTCCAAAACAACAAATAAGATATGCAAAGAAGAGAGTGGGGGCAAATGTGTCACCTTGTTCTCCCTTCTTTTTTAAAACAAAAAAACAACCCTTGAGGTGTTAGCATATTTAATATGCTTGAGAATCTGCCAAATAGTCAAATTTTTAGAGGTTATTAAAAAAAAAGAGCTTCAATGAATTTGAAAACGTTCCTACTTTTCTGAAAGGAGTGCTGCATAAACAGTGCATACATATTTTATGAATCAAACCCTGAATTTTCACTTCTAAAACATTTGTTCTAAAATATCCACCCGAGAGCTTTGCACCTTCTCTTCCTCATATATTAAACAAACATTGTCTTGAACTACATTCATTGTGAGATTCGTGTGTGGTTTTTTTTTATTAAAAAAATTTACCATTTTCCTTGCAGGCAGGTAATGTTAAACAGCAATGCACTTAATTTATACCATGTGTGCTTAACTATGAATAATGGCTTAATATGGAGGGAAAAGTGGCAACCATCTATATATATTTATGTGTCACATCAAGCAAAGGAACCCAAGGTATATATGTAAATAGGTGAAGGGTCGGGCTATGCAGATAAAGTTTGGCTTGGTTTTTAAAGGCTGCTAATTGAGTTCTATGGGATAAAATAAATGGCCTACAGCACAGCAGAGTGGAGAGGTGAAACCGGTCTCTCACCCCAGAATCTGGGGTCAACAAGCATCATATTGAACCCTCGTCCCAATTATGTCCTTGAAGACACCACTACAATTTTTCTTATGTAAGTGAGTGACTCCTAGTCACTCAACCAGGGGGAAAATAGAGCTTTGCATTTTGGGGGAAATATTCCTGTCAAACAAAAACACGACCGCCAGCTCTGAGAGTGGTTGGCCTTTTCATGACTGATAGGGAGTCCATGGATGTTGGTACAAGATTCATTGTAATCCCAAATAGGACCCCTGCAATATACAACCCTTCACCCTGGTTCCACCTGTCATAATGAAGAACATTTTCCTAGTATGGGACTGAAGCCATCCTTGCTTTAAAAAGAAGTCTCATTGGATGTGTAGGATAGTCTGCTGTTCAATTAAGTTGCTGGTATAGCAGATTACAGGTGGAGAGGGGCTATACCATAGGACAACCCCCCCCACCACCTTTGCTCCATCCTGCCTATTCATTCAAAGCCCCCCCCCCATTTGTGAACTGATGTTTGGGTGTGACCAGCGCTCATTCTCTTAGGATGGCAATGGCAACCACCTGAGAGGTGCCATAACTGAGTTCTGGAAAGTTCCGGCTGAAACAAACAGGCCCGAGTGTGATCCATATTAAAAACAGGGTTGGGTGCTGTTGCTTCCACGAAGCTAAAACAAGTCTCTCTTTGTTCCACCCCTCTCCTGGACAGAAAGGTTAAACTCAATGCTAAAGGGGCACAGAATGGAGAGGGCACTCTACTTTTTTGGTTCTTGGTTTAAGCAGCATGTTTTGCGTATCTCAAGCACAAGGATTACAGTTCACCTTGTCCATCTTTGAAAGAATGGCTGTCTTTTGCAGGCATAATGGGGGTGGGGAGCAAACTGTAAATTGGTGGCTCGTTTTCATTTTCTACGGAAAATATAACAGCATATCTATATGCAGATCAAATACTGGGTTTTATAGGACCTTACAGATCAGGCACATCCAACCGGTTGACTGCAATCTACCAGTTGATCGTGGAGGCAATACAGGTCGATTGTGATCCCCCCCAAAAGCTAAACAACTCTGTAGAATCCTCCATTCTCCCCTTAAATAAAGGTCAGCAACTCTTGGCAACGACAATGGGTAGATCACTGCCAGTTTTGTTATACTGGAAGTAGACTGCAATCTCCTGGGGGTTGGTCATGCCTGTTAAAGATGAAAGACTGAAATAAAGTTAAAGTGGCGTTCTGCAGGACATAACGCTTGACCCCGCTATAGTGCATAACACACGTTTCACCTCATACTCTGCACCGACGCAACATTGACAGTCTTGCTTTGCATTGCCATCATGGTATTAGAAATGGCAGAAGGATCTGGCCACATGCACTGTTGACTTGAAAGGGGCTTATGGAAGGGGATGCATTGGCCAGACTGAGTTCAGAAATGCAGCTGGGATGAGGCTGAGGACTTCCTTTGCCAAGACTGACAAACACACCAGCTGCAATACATACTACTTTGACCTGATCTGGTGCTTCTTCAATTTCATCAGTGTTGGGAAATGTTCTGCATGACCAATAGGTACATTTCTGTGGACACTGGGCTGAAACAACTGACTTGCTTTGAATCTCCGGACCAACTTGGTCCATAAGGAACTGATAACCGCCAGAAGATTTCTTTGGCCTTCAAATAATTTGATCTACCTACAGAGACGAAAAAGCTTACTGTCTCTGATATTGACAGCCAACTAGACTGTATGCAGCTCCCACATTTATTTTATCTGGTCCCTGTTAGCCCTATGAATGCCTGAGCACACATGGTCTACAGTAGTAAAGGACTAAGGCTGGAATCTACACTGATCTGGAAAAACGCTATTAAACGCTATAAAAAAGTTACATAGCTCTCAATGCAATTTCCCATTGCCAATGGATCGCTGCTCTGCAGCACCCTCTGGTGTCACATTTTTATAACGTATTTTTAACATTATAACCAACCAGTATAGATTCGCCCCAACTCCTACTTGGCAGGAATTTTGTTAGCATGGGTCAGTTTTGTGTATCTAAATACACTTTTGAGTCCAAGGTCTCAAGAACAGAGGTAACTGGATAAAGTGGCAGTGACAACTACAAATGTAAAGCAGATTTCAAACATGTCTGGAATACAGTGATGAGCACAAGGCAACGTGTTGTTCAGAAGTTATACCCTGATCCTAAACGTCTGTGCCAGCATATCTACGTATTTGTGATATTGCAACAATGCAGCAGTTGGACACAACCCATCCTAAGTATTATTTTGCAAGTCTTAGGATCAGGCTGTAAATATTTCAGTGTCAAATCTATTACAGCAGAGGGAAATGACCCTTTATTTGCCACAATTAAAACACCTATTGCGCTTAGCAATAAAACCTACCAGTTCTTGTATCTGATTTCGTTTGTCCTTGAAAATCCACATAGTAAAATTTGATCAGAAAGAAAACGGCTTTTGATCCACTGAAAGTTCCCTATGAAAGAGTAATTTGCTTTGTGCGCTTTTTGCTCAGGTAGCTGTTAACAGTAACCTTTCATTTTTAAAATCATGTTTTCACACTCTTTCCACCTTCTGGCCCAAAACATACCATGCGAAGAGGTCAATAGGAATTGATCAATATCTGAAGGATTAAGACCTTTGTTTTCCATTCCTAGACAACCACCTATTTTTGCATTAGACACATGTTTGTAGCAGGAATTGTTTGGTTTTTTTTGGAAGACCTTGCCGTCCAAGTTCTACCCTGATTCGAGTCAGCAGTTGAACGGACTCACTCACACCAAGTTAAAAACAGGAGACCTAATACTTTTGACACCAAAACAAAACACAATATAATGCCTCAATCCTATTCCGTCCCTGTACGGAGAACAGAATGGGGTCTGGATCCACAGAGGACTACAGCATAACCTACGCCTTTGCTGCACCGTGCTACTTCTGCACTGCTGGTGGATACATATTTTGCATCTGAGGAGCTTCAAGGTGCTAGATGCTTCAGGCAAGGTGCAGAAAGGCTTCGTTTAGCTGTGAGTGGTTGGCCATGTTACAGCCATTGAAACTGCGAGGGCCAGGCTTGAATACCAATGAGCAGGAGGGGTCCCAAATGCAGCAGATCTAGCTTACCACTTTTTGAAGCATTCCCTTCTAAAGAGCTCCCCCCAACCCCCCCCCCTAAATACAAGAGTTTCAGATAATCTAAATGCACCATGGTTACCTTTTTCTGGGGCAGCACAGTGGGAAAGAGAGAAATTATGATGTTCTACGGCGAATCCTTCTGCACCTTCTCTCTCTCTCTCTCCATGGAAGGGGCAGGATTGGGATCTAAGCGACGGGTTTTATTTTATGTTCTGCAAACTCCTCCCCCCCCTTCAGAATTGCAACTGATTATTATTTCTATAAAACCTGGCCTGTACTTTGAAGAAATACTTCTAATGGAAGTTATAAATATGAGTATTTGAACCACATCTCTTTTTCGTTTGTGTGCGCGCATTAAATATTAGTTTCTCTTTCTGACGGGTTTTCTGGCAGTTTGCTCGATCTGCTGACCGTCTCTTCGCTCTCTTTGTGGGTCAAGGGCTCCACTTCCTTGGAATCGGCATGCTTGAGGGCTCTCTGCCTCTCCTCTTCCGCTCTCTTCTCCTTTGCCAAAAGTCTGTAGTTGATCGCGTTCCCAATAAATAGCCAGATGCTTGCAACGATGACAATGACACCGCAGACAAAATACATGTATTTGTAATCTTTCGTTATGTCCACCAGCATACCTGGAAGATAAAAAGAGAATCCCTGCAAATAATACTGAAGGTGAAACAAATCATTCCCTCCTGGCAGCCAGAAAGGAAGGTCCGAATGCAACTTTTGCAAGTAGAAATAGTGTTACAGTGGTACCTCGGGTTAAATACACTTCAGGTTACATACGCTTCAGGTTACAGACTCCGCTAACCCAGAAATAGTACCTCGGGTTAAGAACTCTGCTTCAGGATGAGAACAGAAATCGTGCTCTGGCGGCGCAGCAGCAGCAGGAGGCCCCATTAGCTAAAGTGGTGCTTCAGGTTAAGAACAGTTTCAGGTTAAGAACGGACCTCTGGAACGAATTAAGTATTTAACCTGAGGTACCACTGTACTTAGCTCAGCAGTGCCAGGATTTCTGTGCTATCGTTGACTGCTCCTTGCAAATGGTTCAAGAGTTAAGGCAATCATCATCAATCTGCTGCTCTTATATGTTAAATTTAACATATATTTAAACTCTGCTCATCAATGTTAAATTTAACATATATTTAAACTCTGCTCATCACTGAATGTAATTTTTGCATTGCATTGCCATTTGACTCTCACCTCACAATGTTCTCCTTTGCATACTTGTTAACTAGGATTTCATTTTAGGCGTTTAATGAAGTGAGCCTGAGTACTAGAATAGCTGATACTAGAATAAATTTTGACAGATTTTTAGATGTCCCAAGACTCTTTTGTTCCAAGAGGCTAACATAACTACCTCTCTGGAAATGCTTCACTGGTGTAAGGCCCCTTACTTCAAGAACTGCAAGGCTGGAGAGGTGTGTGTGCATGCGTTGAACCAGGAAGAGAACTCACATTAGGAAAGGTGCTGTCTGTTTGCTGAAAAATGACCAATCCAGAACAACACAGATGCAGCTGATCGATTATGAGCTGCTATGAATTGTCCTTTTGGCTGTGCATTGGTGTAAAAAGTTCAGAATAAGTAAACTATATAATGGAAGATGGGATCCTTCCCATCTATGGACTGTCAAGGGATTCAACAGAAAGTAATGCTATGTTTGCCACCATTAAATAAAAGTATATGGCAAGACAGGTGTAAGAGAAGAAGGGCAGAAACTCTGAAAGCGTATATGCCAAAATAAGTTTGGGAATCTTCAATGAGAAACTAGCCGTCTAAGCAGGACTGATCATTACTAATCCAGGAGGTAAATACACCACTAGGTGGCATACTGAGAGCTAGAGTAGCCAGCTTCTAATTGAAGAAAGCTCTTTTCGCATGGCAATTAAAGGTTGTGATTGAGTTAAATTGCAATAATTCAGTGTTCTGTTCAATGGTTTTTTATCTTTAGACCAGGGCAAATTAAAATTATATCAATGTCTACACACCTAACTTTGAATGAAAATAAAAGCCATAAGAATATCTGGTGATCCATTGCTCTTCCCTCCTTATACCCATTAAAGGAAATTCAGACAGGACTACCATTGCATTAAAGGACAACAGCATCTTGTGGGATTGCCCACAACAGCATCCCCCGAACTTGTGATTCCCAGGAACCAGGCATGTACACTGCCTTGGTCTTCATGGTGGAAATGCAGGATAGACCTGTAATACCAACAATAATATTGTAGGGTACAGTAGGAAATGGTAGAAGGAAGGATCTTTGCATATGCTGTGTGGAAGAGAGAAAGGTGAGGAAAGGGGAGCCTGTGGAAAAAGCTCACCATGTCCGATAAGACTGTGTGCTGTCTGAAGAAACCACTGGAGAATGGAGGGAGAGGAGAAATCTGATTGGGATGACAGGTGACCAGAAGATATGAATTGCTTGATTGAGAGGTGGGAACTTATGGAAACATGGAAGGAAGCGGGAGGGCGAGTGAAGGAAACCAAAGGGCCAAGGAGAAAGGAAATTTAAAAAATGTTTTCACATAGGATTTAAGGACAGAAGGAAATGTGTGGACAAGAAAACATTAGATTCCAGAAGGGTGGGGCCAGGAAAGCAAATAAATCTGAATGAGGTTGGCACGGAGTTAAATTTCATATATTGACCTTCTTATCATGACCATCATCGATATACTCACCTCCCAACGGAGGGCCTAGAAGAACAGGGCAGCACTCCACAATGGTGACGAGTCCTACAGCGCTGGAAAACCTGCTAGCACCAACCAAATCCATGAGGGTCTCAAAAAGGACACTGCTCACCATGCCGAAGGCAAGTCCAAAAAGCACTGCGTACACAACCAAGCCTGTGTAGTCTTCGGCCAGCGGGCACATGATGTGGCAGATGCCATTGTACAAAACGGCAAAGCTAAAGAAGTATTGGATTTTGGGCCGTATGTATTTGGAGTTTGCGAGCAAGCCCATGGACGGCCTGGCAAACATATCAACAAAAGCCAGGATGGAGAGGAGGAACGCAGCGGAATATTCATCGATCCCCTTGTGCTTGGCATAAGGAGCTAAGAATACAATGGGGGCAAAAAAGCCAAGGAACATGATGACGTTTCCAGATAGGTAGATCAGAAACCCTCTGTGTTTGAAGAGGGAGAGATCTAAGTATGTGTTGATGGTTTGCCAAACGGACTTCTTGTCGTTCTTGTGCAAAGCAGAATCTCCTTTCCCCTTTTCTACGTCTTTTTTGACCGCAGGGGCTGGTGTGGGTCCGACGGGCCTCATAAGAGACCCGGCCACGCAACAGTTCAAAAGAAGCCCTCCCAAAATGAGGAAGCTTCCCTTCCAGCCAAAAACATTGAAGAGAAACTGATTGAGAGGTGCCAGAGTACTTAGAAACACTGGACTCCCAGCCATGGCCAGTCCGTTAGCAATGGGGCGTTTTTTGTAAAAATACTTGCCAATCATTGTCAAAGCTGGCTGCAAGTTGAATGCCAAGCCCAAACCTAAAAGAAAGGAAGGAAGAAAACACACACACAGACACACAGACATGAAAAACAGAGCATTCCCCTAGAATAGTACCAAATTGTCACCTTCCAAGCACCCATATAAACAACAAACAGCCAAAATGCCAGCTAGTAATTCTCCAGAAATATTAAAAAGCTGTTGGCGCTGGCAAATAAACGTGAGCATTCATTGCTTCCCATGTGCTTTAATGTCACTGATATGCCACACAAAATTTCTCTCGTTTCCCTCAAATTGCAGTGCAATAAAAGCGAGAGCTCTGCAACGCACGATTCATGTTGCAGACAACGGAGTGACAGAGGAACAATGATATCAAGACCTTGAGCACACTGTTTCTGTATTTTACTAAGCTATAATCCAATTTGCTCCTGGTTCATTTCACAGAAGTTATTAAATGTCACCTTCTCGACGAAAACGGCAAGAGTTTAGAAGGATAAATCCTCTGCCTTTAGCTTTATCCTTTACTTAGGTTTGAATAGGTACACATAAAAATAAGGCTTAAAATGCTTAATGGACATGGGCCGTTACACAGAAAATGACGCCCTCCCACATCATTGCGGGGTCCCGAGGTTTCCCATGGAGGAGAGACTCACACAAACATTTCAGATTCCTTGTTTGGTGCTGTGACTGGGAACCTTATAGGAAGAATATAGAGGAATAGGCCTGGCATCGCCGGCAGCCAATCTGCCTCTAGCAATCTTACAGCTGGGTTACCAGAAGGAGGAATAGCCCTGAATGCAGTCATGTCATATTCGCTGAGCAAAGATGTCTTTCCTCTATGGATGTTACTCATCCTATGTGGATAACACTCTTTCTCAGTCTACAGCCTAATTCTAAGTCCTCACATACCGGGAGCACAGCGGCTAGCGAGTTTGATTTGAGCAGGAGAGACCTGGCTTCAAATCTCCATATAGTCATGAAACTTGCTGGAATGGCTTGGAGTGACCTGCTTTCTCTTTGGCTGACCTACCTCACAAAGCTATTGGGAGAATAAGGTGAATGAATTTATCATATTTTTACGTGTATTAGACGAGGTTTTTTGACTCAAAAATCATGTCAAAAAGCTGGATAGTGGCATGAAGGGGAAGCTGCACGCACCAGCCAGCTGGTTGGCGGGCGTGAAACTCCCCACATGCCACTGTGGGAGGCACGTGCTCTAGGGAGGAGGAGGAGTTTTGGATTCTATATCCTGCTTTATCACTACCCGGAGGAGTCTCAAAGCGGCTAACATTCTCCTTTCCCTTCCTCCCCCACAACAAACACTCTGTGAGGTGAGTGGGGCTGAGAGACTTCAGAGAAGTGTGACTGGCCCAAGGTCACCCAGCAGCTGCATGTGGAGGAGCAGGGAAAGCGAACCCGGTTCACCAGATTACGAGACTACTGCTCTTAACCACTACACCACACTGGCTTCCAGTGTCTCCCGCAGCGGCATGGAGGGAAAGCTGTGCACACCAGCCAGCTGGTTGGCGGGAGCGCAAGTCCCCCCCATGCTACTGCGGGAGGTGCGCGCTCTAGGGAGCATTTCCTGCAGTGGTGTGGAAGGGAAGCTGTGCGTGCCAGCCAGCTGGTTGGTGGCTCATGCCCTAGGGAGCTTCCTGTCAGGGTGTGTGTGGGGGGAGCAGCTGCCCACTTTGTCAACCCCAGCAACGGCCCTGCTGGGGTGATGGCACGAGTGCAATTCCCCCTTATAAAAGCTCAACAACTTTGGGCCATCTCCCCTCATTTTCTTCAACTTTAGTCCCCCAAAATAGGGTGCGTCTTATACATGGGGACGTCTTATACACAGATAAATACAGTAAGTCTGGTGGCTGGAATGGTGAAGCTATTCCAAGCTGCTCAAGCACAGGCCAGTATCATCATGGCCTGCCAGTTCCTGAATCAGTCTCTGTCTTCAGAAGTCCACTTGTCATGTCTACTCAGTGCATGGCTACTGCTACAGATTTTTTTATTTCTTAAAAAAAGCATACAGGATTGTCTGTCATAACTTGATCCATGCATCTTTCAGTTAACTTTGCACAGCCAGGTCAGCATGCTGCATCTTTGTGACTCAAGGCTGAAAGAATTGACAGGACATGACAAACTGCAGCCTCAACTTCAGCCTGTAGGTTGGTAACAGCATCGTGTTGTGAAAAGTATTGTGTTTGAGAGACAACAATCCTGTGTGCCGTTTTTGATCTGTGTGTGGTGTCTCATTCACAAAGGCAGACCATCGCTTGAGTGTGCAGTCACCATGTGTGAAGCAGCCTTAGGCAGTATAACTAAGCCTAGAAAACAAGCCATCTAGAGGCTCTGTTAGGGTGGGTGCTGAACAGCGAACGGTTTGCTGGCTGCATGCATATGAACGGGAGTTTAATAGAATGGATATTCTATCAATAGGGCTTTTGCTGATGTTACATCATACAAACCCGATCCTCCGGGTCTTGTAACTGAAGCCCGTTTTTTGGAAACACTGCATTTAGAGCTTGCTCCTACATTACAGAATTTCCACATAAAACTCTACTACACCGTGAATAAACTCATAATATGGTAAAGGGCAACTGGGGCATTTTGGGTACAGTTGGATTTGTATTCCTTGCTGTGTATGGTGACATGATTAAAGGCTAAAAGAACCTGTAGAAAAATGGAGTACTGATGACTATAATAAGTGCTGCCACGAGCTAATCAATGCCTGGGCTGTAATTGCATGTGACCCAGTAAGAATGGTGCAAAGTACATGCACCAAAAGTTGAATTATCATTTAAAAAATTGAAACCCAGGGGCTTTGTCTGGGATAGCAGGTTAATACTTACCTCCAATGACACCTATGCAGATATAAAGCTCTAGGACACTGTTGCAGAATGAAGAGCTAATCATTCCAAATGAAGCCAGGACCCCGCCTGCAATCATGACTGGCCGGCTGCCATATTTGTTCACCAAGACGCTGCTTATGGGGCCTAAATACAGGGGGAGGGGGGGAGAGAAATTACTTTCTGAAAGCATAAATGCAATGGAAATCAGGAGCATTTCCTGTGAGGGACAGAAGACTTCACACTCAGCTCAGAAAATATGAAGAAACCTGGTTATTCACATCAGTGCATTTGCAGCAGCCTTCTACTGAATCAGACCAGTTTTAATCCTTACAGAGGTGAACATGAGAGGTCCAACTGCCCATGTATAACCTATTCAGGGCTGGGCCTGCTGTGCAGTGGAGTGAAGCTACCTACTTCAGCTGCTGTCATAACATGGGCTGGCGGAGAGTGGATAAATGAAGGCAGCAATTGGGGTCTGAAGAGCAGGGATGGGGGCAGGTGGATTTTGGAATCAGTTCCCTGTTTAAGGGTGGACCTGTCTGAACAGCACTTTCCAAAACAGTATGTTGAAAACTATTCTGTCTTTCCATAATAGTTCCATAATAGTTAGCTGGATTTTTAATTTTTATTGTATGTTTGTGTGTGTGTGTGTGTGTGTGTGTGTGTGTTTTAAGTGTGGTTTCAGATACAAAGTTGTTGTAAACCACTTTGGTATTTTTGTATGACTAGAACAGCGGCGTATGAATATTTAAATAAACAAATAAATTTGCAAAACCAGAACACAGGCACTTTGAAATTCCCACTTCTCTGAATTTTGCAATACAGCTCTCCAGCTGAGTGACATGCGTAAAAATGCATAGGCTAGGGTAAAGTGTGTGCGCAAACACCTCTGTTAGTGAAAATAATAGAGCAAATGCATGGTATTGGTGAATATCACCAATATCATGGGGGCCAGAGACAAAAGGGGGCAAGGCAAGAAATGGGGGTTTTACTTTTGTGTACTTTTAAGTAGCAGGTTTCTACACCCATCCAAGGACAGATTCCAGCCAGGCAAAATTACCCACGGAAGGTGCAAAGCTGTAGGCCTTGGGTAAGTCTTGGCCCCTGGGGCTGAAGTTTCCCACTTGAAATATAGGCTGGCAAATGACTCAGTCAACAACACTGCATTCCATCCACATTTTAAACAGATGAAACCCTTTTTTTTAGGCTGGATGTGACGTGATATTCCCATGCGCTGGCAATCACACATGGACACTGGAGTCTTTTTAGATTAGTGTCCCCACTGGCAGTTCTGCCTAACAATTGTTTTTGTTTTATTTCGAAATGGGGGTTCCACAGAGAAAGTGGCTGTGCAGAAAAAGTGACAGATAAGACGACTTATGTGCACCTGGTACATGCGCATGTTATATATCATGGATATGAATACATTTAGAAATCAACCAGATTTTTAATCTGCATAGACATTCCTCTTTTTAGGAGGAATGGAAGAAAATTTTGTTTTTTAGCATTTGCCACCAAACTGACCTCATTTGCACCTTCCTGATTAATTCATAGTCAAAAATGTAATTATTCTTTGCATTTCATACCTCTCTGAATTGCAGAAGTTCATGTCTCAAAAATATACCAATATGCAAAAAATTGCATATTTTAGGATAAAATATGTTTATAACTGTAACATTCAGATAACGTACATGTTGTGATAAAATGGCGAGAACCAACCAAGTCCAATTACCCATTGATTTCAGTGGGTCAACTCTGAGTATGGCTAGTATGTATTTTAATATGCTTGGGGTGGAAATGCACAGATTAAACTGGGAACCAGATGGAAGGGATTTATGAATGAACACGTGTGAAACTGACACAGACTGGAAATAGACTGCTCTGTCCAGCATCTCTTTATATGCTGCTTCACTAAGGTATAAATCATAAATGAAATAATTCTATTTTCATTCATGAACTCTGAAGCTACATAGGCCAGTGTAGTACTATTCTGTTGAGATAAGGCTTTTTATGCAGTGGTGTAGACCCACAAATTGTGAAAATCTATAGTCATAAATCATATTTCTAAGGAAGTTCAGTTGCTAGACTTATTTCAGTCTGTTATGCATTGTGATTTAGTGATTTTGTTATGTTAAACCATTGTTTCTCACATGAGCGATATACTGTATAGTTTTGAAGGGTTTAAAAATGGAATGTATGTATTAAATATCAAGACTGAAGGGATGTCAGACACATTTGGGGAATTTTCCCCACCCCCAAATATGTTCCTTCAGGATCTCACCTGTCTTAGTTTTGTAAGTACTAAATTACCATCCTTAAAGGAAAAAGGAATAAAAAGGAAGCCAAAGCAGCCTAACATTTAAAGCCAGTGCTAAAAACGACTCTGCAATAAAGTGAAATGTCAAGCACTGCATTTGGTTTTTACTGAAAATCTATCTGTATGTTGTCCAAGGTATAAGCTTTTCATTAAAAAAAACCCCAATAAAAGAACAAACTTTGCATTTGCAGTGTGAGAAGTTAAGTAAAATATGCTGTAACCTAGTGTTTGCGGAGGTCTCAGTTTGACAATCTTAAACTTGCAGGCCTATCCAGTATGGCAATAAAGATACAGTGGTACCTCGCAAGACGAATGCCTCGCAAGACAAAAAACTCGCTAGACGAAAGGGTTTTTTGTTTTTTGAGTTGCTTCGCAAGACGATTTTCCCTATGGGCTTGCTTCGCAAGATGGAAACGTCTTGCAAGTTTGTTTCCTTTTTCTTAACACCGTTAATACAGTTGCGACTTGACTTCGAGGAGCAACTCATAGAACGCGGTGTGGTAGCCTTTTTTGAGGTTTTTAAAGACTTTGGTGATTTTTGAAGCTTTTCCAAAACTTTCCCAACACCGTGCTTCGCAAGACGAAAAAAATCGCAAGACGACAAAACTCGCAGAACGAATTAATTTCGTCTTGCGAGGCACCACTGTATGTTTTAGTCAAATATTCTCTCCTTGTTACTGGAATGCTGTGCTAATAAGGAATCAGTGGCATCTCAAACCCCAGGACCTCTTTTTCAGAGTATAATATGTCAAAAGATTTGAAGCACGAGAATATTGGAAGGCAACCTAGCTTTTGATATGTTGGCTTCTCGTTAAGCAAGAAATAAGCTGGATCCAGCCATATTAATAGACCCACCGAAGTCAATGGACCCAAGTTGGACATGTCCATTAATTTCAATGGGTCTCCTTTGAGTATGACTAACATTGGACACAACCCAATATTATTCAAGGGTGGAAATAACCTCTTGGTAGTTTTTTCACTCTTGACCTCCCCTGCCCCCAATTTCTCCACCATCCCTATATGAAATTTGACAGGTCGCCCACCCCTGTTACAGAACCTGACAAGGTCTAGTCAGAACATCTTCCTTAGTCAGGTTGCAGCTGCACCATTCATTTCAAGCAGCCTATACCACTTTAACAGTCATGGCTTCCAGCAAAGAATCCTGGGAACTGTAGTTGGTGAAAGCTGCTGGGAGTTGTTAAGAGAACCCTATTCCGTCACAGAAATATAATTCCCAGAGTTCCCTAGGAAGAGGGAACGATGGTTAAGCTACTCTGGGAATTGTAACTCCCTGAGGGGAAACCGGGTTCCAACTCTCCACACCCTTAACAAACTATGTTGCCCAGGATTCTTTGAGGGAAACCATGACTATTAAAGTGCTATAATTGTGCCTGAAGTATATAATGTAGATATGGTCTCAGTCAACATATTAATCTTCCGTTGGGAAAACCATCACATAGGCCTCCGACACAGCACCTTCAAAAGGCTAAATGAGTCTTCCCATACTTTTAAACACTATAATAAAATATACCTTTGGTGGTGGGATACACAAAGGGTTACAGACGCAGTAATATTTCACTAAATAAGAAAATATGGAAAATGTTACCTGCCATATCAAGCCTAATGCTAAAGTTAGCCAGTGAATAAATTACTTAAATGCACTCCGTTTCCATATGTTCTGCTAAGTGGACTCCCCACCCACCCACCCCAAAGGAATCTGTGCCTACTTTTTACTTTAAGAGTCTAAAATAATGCTACAGCCTCTTGCCTAGATGCCAAGGATATAAATCCAAATACATTGTAGCTACGAGCATGTAATCAAGCCTTTAATGGCCATGCACAAATGCAATTGCACATTTAACAATTTTTATTATTTGTTAAGTGGTGTCTGCTACATAGCAGCCTGTCTCTTTAATCAACCCCATTTTTCTTTTTTTGCAGACAATGGCATGATGTTCATGCTATTCTCCAAGATATGTCTTTGATGGACCAAGTGAAAAAGGCAACACTGAAATAAGATGAAGGCTTCTCTTCAGCTGGGGAAATCTGCTAGGGAAGATGCTTCTCTTCAGCTAGGGAAATCTGTTTTAACAGAAGCTAAAGAGAAAATCCTATACATATGTCTATATATATATATATATATATATATATATATATATATCCTGACTGAACTGCATGGGGTTTACTTCCTGATAGGTAGGTGTAAGACTGCTAAATCAATTTCATGCATATCCTTCTTTAGAGTCCTCTTCAGGCATTGGAAGTGAATGTGTGACAAGGGCAGTAGGGTCATGTGCACAAGACCCACTCCCATCGCTCTCATTCTCACATGGTGCACACTGAACACAAAGGTCTGAAGTGGGCTTCTAACCACATTCCTCTCAACATGGTTAGATGCCTCCACATGATTGGAATGCTGCACTATAGGGTTATTGGTCATGCAGAGGCATCTAAGTTCATTCATCCAAACATGCTTGGAAGCCTCCTTCCCACTCAATGCATGGTTGGGGCTGGCATGCATGGCCTCATACCTCTTATGCCAGATACGGGGGACTTGTGGCCCTCCAGATATCATTGGACTTCAGCTCCCATCAAGCCCAGCCAGCATGGCTAATGATCAAGCATGACAGGAGTTGTAAGCCATCATTTGAGTACCTTTTTGGTGCCTCCTCCATGAGAAGTCCAGAGAACACGAGAACAGGCCCTTCCTGTGGTGGCTCCCCACTTGTGGAATGTTCTCCCCCGGTAGGCTCGCCTGGTGACTTCATTACATACATTTAGGTGCCAGGCAAAAACACTCCCCTTCTCCCAGCCTTTCCCTAACTAA